CATTGCATTTATGATACAGAAAATTTAAAATTTTAGTCATTTGTTTTAAAGAAGTTCAAATTCAAATTAATTATAAAATAATTGAAATTCACTCGACTCATTTTCTCTGATTTAAGAATTCGGCTGATTAGACTCAATTCTATAAACACATGTTAGTGTTAAATATCGTCGGCCGCCCGCCGCTTGCCACCTTCCCCATCGATGATTGTTGCCACACCCACAATTGATCACAACCACCCTACTCCCACCTCCACCCTTGCAGTCGGTTGTTGCCCGCCAGTTAGCACAGTAGTTAGTCACAACCAGTCACCTACGCCAATTGTTACCGCCTGCCACCATCAGTGACCTCCGCTAGTCGATTAACAATCGTCATTTTACCACTGTGCAGTCTAAGTTTGAGCTATGGAAGCAAGCTGTGGGGAAGAATGTCGAGATTTCTCGTGCTTCTCTGGATGGCATGAGCTCATCACACCCGAATACTTCAGAGCTTGTCAGGCAAGTCACTACTATGACTGAGGAGGTTCGCCATATACGTGAAGGCTAACAGAGAATTAAGTGGAATGTAGCACGCCTGAAGAAAATTATCGAAGATCATTTGGCAAACGAACGGTGACTATTATAGTCGAGGAAAAGGATAAAGAGGAGAATGAGTAGGAGGATTAGAAGGAATTTTTATGTATTTTTAATTTCTAAAAGTATTTTAACTTATATTGGGAGTGTAGAAGTAAATTTTTAATAATTTAGATTTGTGACACTATTTAGTTTTTCGATGTTGATGTTTCTAAGAGCTTTGATCTGTGATATGACTGAATATAATGTTTTTTTGTGATATGAATTGAATGTTGTGTGTAGGTTATGGAATATAATTGATATTTAAAATTTTTTTTTATATATTAGTTATGCATCGAATTTATGTATGTTTTACATCCAAAAATCCGACACATAGCTCATCGATAATACCCGCCGCAAATTCAAAAGTATTACACAAAATTTGACGCACGTATAGTTCGACGCTAGAATGACACAAAACTCAACTCTAGTTATTTGTGTTGGAATGTTTCAATGCAATATTGACGAAATTAACATTACTAACTTCTGAATTACCATTGGAAATTATCATGCATAAATCAGATGCAAATCCGACGATAAACCTTAAATATCATCGGATTTACATTTCATTAGCGTCCAACTTGGCCAATGCAAATTTATTAGTTTGCACCCTTTTAAAGCTTTTGCATGACCAACAATGAGCCATGAGAAAAAAAGTTTTTAGCATAGCAACAAGGAGAACAAGCAGGAGAATAAATTTGCAGAAGAGAGAACCATTCCGTCAATATTTCAATGCAGTACCCCACCCTTTTAAGCAACCTTTCCCCTAATAAGGAATCAAAACTACCACTATCCCTGTACCATGCTGACAAATGATCTCCCCGCCATGAAATAAATCTATAGCCGTAGTAGTCCAGGCGAAGTAGACGCCAAAGCCATTTCTCTTGTTTCTCCCACTACTTTCACACTATAGGAAATCAGCAAATGGAGATGAAAACTAGTAAATGAGTTCGAATGACAAACCTTTTTAGATGCAATAATCTTCTTCCTTCTCTTTTGTTTTCTAAATCGCTGCAACCGAACTAATTGTTTTCTTTTAAATACCGCATGTCCCCTGCTACTTCTTTCTTTCACTTCTCCATCCACCGCTTCTCCTCTTTCCAGTACTTCTCCCCATTTCCCATCTCCGAGATCATCATCTTCTTCATCCTCCCCGTTCTCGTCTTCTTCAACCATCTTGATCTGAGGCGCCCCCGCAAAGAGCTCCACGATGGACCTCTTCTTCGGCACCTTCTGTTTCCCTCTTCCCCCA